GTCAAGCTACAGCGCCGCGCTACAGTTCACCACTTTTAGCAAGTTCACTCACCCTAAATCACAAAAGTTTTACTCGTACACTGCCTTGATAATATCGCTTTCGCTCAGAATGAATTGCTAGATTTCACTCAAGATTTCCTGCTTCCTTGCATATCTTGCATCGTTCCGTATTTTCCGTTAAGCCATCACGAATTTCTTCTCCTTAGCGGAAAAGATATCCCATATTTCAATTCAGTAAATCAGAACTAGCAATGCGGTGAAATTGGAAGATGTCATGTGCGATCCGATGCTAGGTTACTATAGGAAAAGGTGTTTAGTAATTTGTTGAAAACTATCCATCCCGCTTTTTTGCTCTCCTCGGATTCGACACTTAAATGGTTACTCATGTGCATTATTTATTTCGAACAAGTACTTATAACCATGAGCGTGACTGGTTGGTTCTCGATCCACACATCGAACTGGGCTCACTATGCATCTTTTCATCTTTTTATGCGTTTTGTGCATCTCTGCAATGCAAAAGCGCATATTGACGAGGGGTTGTCTGTGCGTATGTGTGTGCGCGCGCGTGTGTGTGTGTATGTGTGTGTGTGTTTGTGTGTGTGCGCCGATTTTTTATCTCGAGACCTACGCAAGCTGCAGGGCTGAAAATTTGGGAACTTAATCTACATGCATCTACGGGCCCCCATCTCCAAAGTGGGCGGTCTTACTCGTGTGGTACCCACGTACGAGCCTGCTAAAGTTTTTCATGGGCAAGCTGCTAAATCGGGACCAGGGACGATGGAAAGCTGAAATTTTATGGGGACGTTCCCCGTCCACGCAGGTATTAATGAGCTTAAAACCAGCCGTTGGGTATGCGTGGTACCAACTTACAGGCCCTGAAAGTTTTTTTTCGGGTAAGTTGTTAATTCGGGAACCTGAAAAGCTAGAGGATTGGAATTTTAAGAGGGTATTTGCTGACAATTCTGGCGGCCAGTCTTAATTATTTTAGCTGAAAGCACTTGCCGGAAAAACCGGTGCCAATAGCGACAAGAACTGCAGGGAACTACGCAAAAAAAGCATTTTCGCACGGGCAGCTCGTGCGTTGGCCAATTATTTTTTTTCTTCTACAGTCCCTTCTGCATTGATTTTTA